TATGCTCACCAATATGACTAGGTACAGCGTCGTCATGAGCCGTTTTGCGCCCAAATTAATCAACTTTATTTCAATTCGATACCTACAGAATGAATCTCTTACTTAAACTTACTACCTACTGGACACGGCTCGCTTCAAATGGCGCTAGACTTGTACCAGCCCAAAAGCTGTGCTGTAATTATTTCTACTGTACCCTAATATAAATGATCTAATAAGTGAGTTTCCTCAACCCAGCTTCATCTGATATTCTTCGCACGCGCAGAGCAGACACACTATTCGTCAGTGTCCATGTTCATAAATCTAAGTTGATGGATAACATAAATTAATTGCCAAGATCAGGGCTAATGAGGCGTTATCGCCTTGAGCAGGTTCATTGCCTTCATAAATCTATGCCTAGGGGGACTTTTTTGAGGAATTGTCGGTAATGTAGGTGAATCTCACACCTTACTGGACAGTATTCGTAACAGCCACCATACAAATGTGTTGTACGAAAGTCGCAATACGATAGCTGTTCGAATAATATAAAAAATGAAATAAATATATGTGATGCTACATACCGCCTGCCAAGCGTAGTAAGTATGGCAAATACCCCAATTGGAGTGGGCCCATGTCCAGCAGTGTATTGTTGTGGTTGTTAAAGAAGTATTTTCTACCAATAATTTTGTCGCTTTTGTACACTGAATGGTATTCATCAAGTACAAAAAAAGTCAATGAGGTACCCGCCTACACGAAAACCGCAAACAGCGAGAAAAAACACGCAGATTATTCCCTTCATCCTCAAAAAAATATATTAACGTAACGTGACGTCCACCATTCACTTACAGACGTAGAGAAATCATTCAGAAACTCCTTCTATTGAATCAGTAGATAAATTCAGGAAAACAGGCAGTGAATCACCACATTCACAGGTGGGCGATCTTCGCATGGCTACACACATTATATCATCTAGAATCATCTATTCCGGACACCGAGGTGGGATTTATGAAAACCAGATTTCAAAATGTTTGTCTGAGCAGTTTTGTACGGAAAAAGGTTAGCCCTCAGATTATAGTTGAGACGGCCAGTCGCTGCATTCGTCTCCGTAACTGTCACAAATGGCCGTCGCAACTAATAATAACATAATATCTTTGACATAAAAGGCTTTACCTAGCTGTATATAAGGTACCTACTTTCCGATTGTCATATTAAATTTTTAATACTTATATTATGATCCTATATTTTAATTCAGGAAATTCCAATCTGTTTTTAAATAAAATAAGCATATTTTTTAAAATACTGAATCTTTTACAAGTTTTCGCACTGATGATAAAAATATCGTGCGTTATTTCATAAAAAATAAACGCTGCGCAAGTAAAAAATTGTGGTAGTTATGTGAATATTAATTTGCAGTGCTGTGGATATGGCCTTATTGAACAAAAGAACGAAACTTTTTACATCAGGATGATTTTTGTAGACCTTTGATTGCAAGAACATTATTAGGTGCACAGCAGACAAACGCCCTTAATATTTTGACACTGAAATTATAGTGTGGAACAAAAAATACTTTTGCAAAATAGTTTTTCTTTTTTACTTTGTAATATGCTAGCATTTAGCAAGTTAGCTCAGCTAACCTTGCCTACGTAAACATTGTGTAATTTCTTATGTAAATGTTACGGCACCGACTTTCTAAGGGGTTTTCTCGTAAATTTCACGACTGCCAAGTTCAGCCAGCAAGTTTGGCAAGTTTGCTAAAACACTTTACACATCACGACTCAATGGTAACTATAATACAAAGTAGGTATACATTCTATGGCGATGGCGATATGATACGAATTTGTGGGTATTTAGATATTATCTAAATTTAACACGCTTTTACCTTAATATGTCAATTACCAATACCTACCTACGTACCTAACTATGATACCAACATGTTTTATTTCTTTTTCTAATTATAATCTAGACCCCAAGTCTGCTATTTTTAGTAATTGTAATGCCAGCGAGCCAGCGACACTCAACTCTTTCCATTGCCAATGCGATTTTTCTTTGTTGAAAACTGTTAGCAGAATACGAAACTATTAAACAGATCAAAACCATTCATCCAACTGACATGGCATGTTTTTTCATTCAGCAGACTTTGGCCAAGGGCCAAGTTCCTATTATTTTCACATCTTTAAGAAGTACCATTGTAGATCGTTTACAACGTGCATGTTAGTCGTGTATTCTAAAGAGCATTTGAACGAAAGTGACACTGTAACTTTCAAATTAGCACCAATTTAACACCTATTTTGTAGTGAAGTAAGAATAGTCACCAAGATCCCACAACTATTTGTAGACTTCATTTTGTCACTAAAGTCGTAGAATACAACATCGTAAAAATACACGAGAAGAAAAACAGTTTTGGATTGCTTGATATTCTATTTCCTAAGTGCTGCATTCAGTAGAAAAATAACAAAATGCGTTCAAAAATTTCTGTGCTACTGATACTATCATGTTATTTCGCATTTTCCGAGGCAAGCGAACAAAGCGTTGAGGGAAGAGGGAAAAAGAAAAAAATTGCTTTATTCGGTAAGAATTGTATCTTTTTTATACATGGAATATTTTTATCCGTTTATTTTGCGTTCGTATTCGGGCGCGAATGTTTTCATTTGAATAACTTTGTTGGATTACTTTTACGCTAGTTGTGACCGGTTCAAGGGTGTGTGAAATTGCATGTAGATCTACCTGCCTACCTGTCTATGCTGCTAAACTCGTGGCCTATTTTACCTTGCTACCTATTTACACTATAGGCATTTCAAGAAACTATTTCCACATTTTTGTCCAAACAATTATTATTATTATAAATTTTTATCCCATTGACTACTTTATTTATAAATGAATCTCTGTCTACAAATTCATCGAAACTGTTTTAAACTATAAACAATACTATAATAGAAGACAGATACGTAGGATAGTGCGCGTCCCAATCCAGCCTCAAATTTATGGTCACAAGACAATGCGCTGTCTCTCATTGTGGCCTAGAGATAAATGGTATCTACACCAATATTGGCTTTTGGAGAGATGCATGTGGTCCCATTTACATTCACTTGGTTATGGTTAGGTAAAGGATGAAATTTACTTATGTTTTGTTCTGTAACCGAAAGATTTTAATTCTTCTTATGTATTTTTTCAACAAAAGCATAAAGGCAACAAGTATTTGATAAATCTGACGAATAACTAGCGTAAAATAAAATAAAATAAAATAATAAATTGTAGTATATTGCATACTCTATTAATATTGACATACACATAATTGAATACCCAATGTTAAAATTCTTCCCGTGTTAGATATGCAGATTATTGCCTTCGAGCCTGCGGTGGAAAAATTTATAACTTTTCTAAAAAACACACATTATCTTCGGTGTATTTAAATTCATACTTTGTGAAAAATCAAATTAATGAAATAAAATATTTATAAAGTATTAAGATGCTTTATTCAAAATCAGAATGAACAGCGTAGGTTGTGAGATACTAACAAAAAAGTATCTTCATGCTCAAGGAACCGAAGGGGTTACAACGTCCACACAATTAGAGCTACGGCCATCTCGTTTACAGTCATATATGAACAGCTCATTACAAGTGCCAGGTCCAACCTCACCGAAGTCTATGTCCGTACTTTCTCCACCATTCAGCGAGTACTGCTTATCAGAATAGTTGGTCCCCGGTCTGCCACAACTTGAGATCCACTTGCCAACTTTGAAGGACACTCCGTTGCCCGTAATGTTCCTGACCTTGACTCTATCGGCGCCGTAGTTGTCCTTACCGCAACGGAATTCCTTGTCACCCTTCCATCTCTCGCAGTGGGTTGGTCTAGCAGACACAGCTGCTATGGCCAAAGATAATACAAGAACCAATTGTAAGGCTGCCATCTTGTTGTTTGTGAAATGAAATACAATTTTCGGATATTTATAAGTAAAACTGTGTATAATGCACAGCACACACTGGAGTTAAAAAATATAAGTTTATACTTTTTATTTTGTATGATATTTCATTTTGATCTTCGACAGGGAAATATTTAAACACCAAAAAACTTTGTCAGATGTATTTACAAAAATCATGAAAAGTGTAGGTGGTAAAATATTAAGGTTTAGAAAAAGGTTGCTGTTCAAGGAACCGAAGGGGTTGCAATGTTGAGATAGTCAGAGCCGCGACCGACTCGCTTTTATTCATAGGTAGATGATCAGCTTGTTGCAAATGCCAGATCCGACCTCACCATACTTTCTCCTCCATTCAGCCAGTAGATAGTTCCCGTACGGCTATACCTTGAGATCCACTTGACAATTTTGAAGGATACGCTATTTCCCGTAATGTTTCTGACCTTGACTCTATCGTTCCCGTAGTTGTCCTTACCGCAGCGGAATTACTTGTCACCCTTCCATCTCTCACGGTGAGTCGGTCTAGCAGACACAGCTGCTATGACTACAGAGAGTACAAGAACCATAAGACTGCTATTATGTTGTTAGTGAAAATGTAATACATTTAAGTTTTGGATTTTTATATGCAGAACTTTGAATAAGGCTCGGTACATATTCAAGTATTGCGTGACGGTTATAATAAGATTTGTTGCATGTACGTAATGTTACGACATTACCAACACTTCCAGTAAGATTATTACTTTTATGATGGCAAGTTCGGATAATTTAGTCATGTGATATTACTATTAATGATTAAAGATAATTTTTATTCTGTCATTGTTTTGATTCATTTCTGATATTGATTTGGTGTTATTTTTTCTGAAACAGTCCGAAACTAAATAGTTACAGTGTGATCAAACTATTACCTTAGAACCAGTTTTTGTTGCTTTCTTTTTACAAGTATTTAAACCTTTTAATTTATGCCAAGGAAGATAATAAATAATTTTTTTAACTCGTTTTCCTTGATAGCACATTGTTTTCCAATTAATTTCGGAGATAAATGTGAACATCCTGGTGTATAAATTATAAAACGTTTTTCATAAATGAAAATAAGAAATTAAAAACATTTCGTGCATCTACCGGGGCTCGAACCCGGGCCGCTTGTGTCACCGTCTCACAGCTCTGCTACTGAGCTACCGATGCACCAATCGATGGTCGCCAAATTTAAATCTCTTGTTGCTCGTCTTTAAGCAACCACCTGGACACTGTGGATTGTTTCAGGTCTGCAAGCCGCATACAAATTTGTAGAGCAGTAAAAAATGTGATGATACTTTCATCAGACTGCGAAAATTGGGTTTATGCTGTTCTAAGCCTACACCACAGTATATAAATCCATAAAAATTCATTTCATAGTGATAGGTATCTTTCTATGGGCCACTAACGAGACATCGTTATCTGTGCCCCGTCCACGCGGACATTGTGGATTGTGGCAGGCCTGCAAGCCGCATACATATATGTGGACCAGTTATAAATAGGGTGATGCTGTCATTAGACTGAAAAAATACCGGTAATGCTGTTCTAAGCCTACACCACAGTATATTAATCCACAAAAAATCCATTTCATAGTGATAAGTGTCTTTCTATGGGCCACTAACGAAACATCGTTATCTGTGTCCCATGCACGGGGTCATTGTGGATTGTGGTAGGACTGCAAGCCGCATACAAATTTGTAGAGCAGTTATTAATAGACTGATGCTGACATCAGACTGCGAAAATTGTTAATGTTGTTTTAAGCCCAAGCACCACCAATATAAAATCCACAAAAAATCCACTTCATAGTGATATGTGTCTTTCTATGGGCCACTAACGAGACATCGTTATCTGTACCCCGCCCACGTGGACATTGTGGATTGTGGCAGGCCTGCAAGCCGTGTACTTTGTAGACCAGTAATAAATGGGGTGATGCTGCCATCAGATTGCAAAAAATAGGGTAACGCTGTTCTAAGCCTACACCACAAAAATCCATGTCATAGTGATAGGTGTCTTTCTATGGGCCACTAACGAGGCATCGTTATCTGTGCCCCGTCTACGTGGACATTGTGGACTGTGGTAGGCCGGCAAGCCGCATACTTTGTAGAGCAGCAATAAATGGGGTGATGCTGCCATCAGACTGCGAAAATTGTTTATGTTATAAGCCTAACACCACAAATATCAAATGTACAAAAAAAAACATTTCATAGTTATAGGTGTATCTTTCTATGGGCCACTAACGAGACATCGTTATCTGTGCCCCTTCCACGTGGACATTGTGGATAGTGGCAGGCCGGCAAGCCGAATACTTCGTAGACCAGTAATAAATGGGGTGATGCTGCAAAAAATGGGGTAATAATGCTATTCTAAAGTTACACTACAAAAAGTCCATTTCATAGTGATAGGTGTCTTTCTATGGGCCACTAACGAGACATCGTTATCAGTGCCCCGTCCACGTGGACATTGTGGATTGTGGCAGGCCGGCAATCCGCATACAAATTTGTAGAGCAGTAATAATTGTAGGGTGATGCTGCCATGAGATTGCAAAAATGGGGTATATATATGCTGTTCTAAGCCTAAACCACAAAAAAACCATGTCATAGTGATAGGTGTCTTTCTACTATGGGCCATTAACGAGACATGGTTATCTTTGCCCCGTCCACGTGGACATTGTGGATTGTGGCAGGCCGGCAAGCCGCATACAAATTTGTAGACCAATTATAAATAGGGTGATGCTGCCATCAGACGGCGAAAATTGGGTTTATGCTGTTCTAAGGCTACACCACAATATAAAAAACAACAAAAATCTATTTCATAGTGATAGGTGTCTTTCTATGGGCCACCAACGAGACATCGTTATCTGTGCCCCGTCCACGTGGACATTGTGGATTGTGGCAGGCCGGCAAGCCGCATACAAATTTGTAGACCAGTAATAAATGGTTTTGCCCGAGGGTCGCTGCGATATCTAGATTTGTAAACGCGTTCCAGGAATACCTAGATCGTTTATGCGAATTTAGGGTAGTAAAGTAGCAACTTAGTAAAAAGTTTAGGTTGGTAGGTAATCAATTTTTTAATCATAATCAAACAACTCGTAGCATGAAATTACGAGTATGTATGAAATTTCATTACAGGAAATGACCAGTTACATAAAGTTTTCCCTAAAGAGTCTCAGGATCATATATGTACACAAATACGTACATACTCGTACTTATAGCCCTAACACCATCTTTTTGTGAAACAAACACAAAGAGATTATTAATTCCAATCATCCAATTACTCTAAATTGTCTTTCTTTTATAATACCTTTCTGCTATTAAAAGATACTTCAATTAATTGTATGCTATTATCGGATGTTTGATTTATTCATGCTTCAAACAGTCTATCCAATATCTATGACAAGTGCAATTTATTTAACACAATGAAAAGGTTGTCGCTTTCTTGGTCTACCTGATTTTTCATTTTTAAATTCATGTGAAATATGCAATAATGCGATTTCATGCAAGATTTTTTTTTCTCTTTTCAGTGTATCTCGCCGATCTAGTTATCAAGAAATTCTTCATCCTGAAGCTAGCATTTGCCTTCGTTCTGTGGGCGCTCATCCACAAGGCTGGTTATTTCTTCACCTGGTTCATCCACAGCCTGAAGGAGAAGAAACCTGAGTACCATCACGACTACCATGACCACTATGATCATCACCCTCACTATGATCATGGCCATCATGGGTTCGACTCGTATGGACCTCCCTCTTATGGACCACCACAGTTTTCGAATGGTCCTTACAAAAGACAAGCCGTAGAGACGTAGTAAATTTTAAATGAGCTGAAAGTACTTGTTTGGCATGAATGGGATTGTATGCATGTTATGTCTCTCTCTCTCTTATAACTAGGCATGTTTCATGCCTAGTTATAATTTAGGCTTTTAGAGAATTGAGTATGAACACATAAGGAACGTAGTTAAAATTAAAGACCATTTTTAAATACTATTAAAGTTGTACATAAGGAAGTCATATTTATTATTATTTTTTAACTAGCTAGGTAGCTAGCATAGATTTTAAATAAATTATTTCAATTGATACACGAGTTTTATTGAACAGGCAAATGATTTTTTACGGCCATCTCATTTTCACACTATTTCCTTAAAACTTATCCACAAATGACACACAAAATTAAGCTACTTATTTTTACATACAGCACCAATACGCAATCGCTTCCCTGCCATTCTCGGTGGGCAGCCAACATCGTAAAGCGCACCCTTATCAAGGAGTTGGCAAGCGTGTATGTTCCGACACTTGGCTCCGAGTGAGCCGAAATGTGCCTTCAATTACATAATGTGTCTTGATCTCGGGTTGTGTTGTTGTAGCAACTTAAAGTATCTAGTACAATTTCAGAGAGTAATATAATGTTCTAATAAATGCCAATACACAATCGCTTCCCTGCCATTCTCCCTCGGTGGGCAGCCAACATCGTAAAGCGCACCCTTATCAAGGAGTTGGCAAGCGTGTATGTTCCGACACTTGGCTTCGAGTGAGCCAAAATTCGCCTTCAATTACATAATGCCTAATAAAACATTGTGTCTTGCTCTCGGGTCTTGTTGTTGTGGCAATTAAACGTAGCAAAGTTTCAGAGAGTCCTTTAGCTTCGAATGTAACGTGAAAGAACTGCGTGGGTAAGACAGTGTTTTGATTCATGGAATTGGTACATTCTCATTTGCATCAAATCGGGCAGTTCTGATTTTTTGATATGTTGTATATAAAGGTTCTGATTTTTTGATAAGGGTGCCCTTGATTTTTTGATTTATTTTCCGTTCGGCTAAGGAACATATTCCCAGAGGCTATAGGAAAGAATATATCCCGGGCTGGAATGCTGAAAGCGAGAATCTGTTCAAGGAATACAAAAACACCGGTGATCACAGTAAAGGTGCTCAGCTCCTCCAGTCTCTTGACTGTCACAGAAGCGAAAAGTGGAGGAATGTAGTCGAGAAAATGGATTTTAAAACTTCAAGCCGCAAGGCCTGGAGGACTCTAAATAGTTTAACTGGTAAATTCCATCCGAATAATGTGTGCAAAGGAGCAAACCCTGATGCTATCGCAGCCCGCATGGTCCAGGTGACCCGAGCCAAGCGCGACAAGTTGTTCACCAAGAAAATTAAACAGAGTCTTAAAGGTCTCAAAGAGAGTGCCCCCACAAACCAACACATATCCCGACCCTTTGAGATAGCGGAGGTGATGCACGGAATCAAACTCCTAAAAAATAATAAGGCTGCCGGTACAGATAATGTCTTCAATGAGTTCCTCAAGAACATGGGACCAGTAGGAGTAAGCTGGATCACCGCTCTTTTCTCGGACATATTGGCTAACAACAATTTGCCCAAAAGCTTTAAAACAGCAAAAGTAGTAGCAACTCTTAAACCTGGAAAGTCAGAACACTCGCCTGAAATCTACAGACCCATAGCCCTGCTTAGTTGCATATACAAACTGCTAGAAAGGGTCCTGCTTGGTAGAATCGAACCATTCATTGAGGCAGTCATACCACCAGAGCAAGCCGGCTTTCGAAAAGGAAGAAACTGCACAGACCAGGTCTTATCACTCACTAGCTACATCGAGGCGGGTTTCCAAAAACAGCTCAAGTCCACTGCTGTGTTCATCGACTTAACTGCAGCCTACGACACTGTCTGGAGACAAGGTCTTATTCACAAAATCCTGACGGTAATACCAAGCAGGGAAATAGCAAATCTCATCTTAAATATGTTGACTGAACGCCAATTTAAGGTCCACTTGGGTAACGCTAAGAGCCGTACCCGAATATTAAATGATGGATTACCACAAGGATCAGTGTTAGCCCCCCAAATGTTTAACCTGTATATTCACGACATCCCCCAAACGAAGGGTATCAAGTTTATGTACGCCGACGACATCGCGCTTGTCACACAGAGCCGTGATTTCAGTACAGGAGAGTCAATCTTGGCTGCTGACCTGGAAATCATAGGTGAATACCTGCTGAACTGGCGTCTGATTCCCAGTGCGAGCAAGACGGAAGTGACATGCTTTCACCTAAACAATAAGTTGGCAAACTACCAGCCACAGATACCTTTCCATGGCCAGATTCTAAAATATAACCCCTGCCCAAGGTACCTTGGAGTCACTCTCGATAGATCTCTGACTTACAAGGAGCACC